TCTCTGGTGGTAAATGTGTCCTAATAGATGCACACTTAGTATGGAAAATTAATATCACTTTGAGTGCGAAACAGTGCATATGGTGAACATGGTATTTCAATTAGTGGGCCCTTTGTTCTATGGAGCTGAAGAGTTGTCACTGGCTGAGGAGTGGGTGGTTCTTTAACAAAGGAATTAAATCCCAGGAATTAACACAACCACATCTGTTTATGTCCCTCAGGGACCAGCATTGCTTCACAGTAGGCCTCCATGCACCAGCAGCAGCCAATGGGCAGAACAACTGTCCTACTGCTACATACACAGAGCAGTCGTCCTACAGCTGACGGCAAGTCAATGTAATGCTCCACATAAACTATTAAACTATTTTTATTTTACCAGTTAAGGCACACTGAGCTATTCAGCTGTTTTTCAGAAGTGACCTGGCCACAAATGATAGCTCAACGAAGTGGCTTATCACGGGTAAATTTATAGCAGCCAAATACTCTAGATGTGGACCCGGAGGAAAAATCCACTCGACCATGGGGAGAGAAACATGCAAACTCCAAACATACAGCAGGCGTCAGGGTCGGGATCAAACTCCCGACCTTCTGTATGCGAGGCAAGGTGGTTAACATCTCTCACCGAGGCAGACCCGACTGTGTCGAAGAGACACCCAATAATTGTTCAACAAAGATAATGGCATTATTGAGTCCGTATTTTTTCCCTTCAAAGTGAGAAAGTTGTATTCCGTCGATGACAGAACCTTTAAATATACAGTATCGCACGAACAGTAACCCAATACTGAGGCAGTAGTCAATTGTTGCATAGATTGAATATAATTATGGTTATAGTAGTGGGGGGGGGGGCAAACTACGTGGATCCTATCCGTAAACTAAACAATAGCCACTGAGAACCATTCATTAGGAGGATGCCCCGGACTTCCACAGTTCTGCTGCGTGCCTTGGCAGAAACCCATTATGGGAATGAGCATTGCATCCCAAAAGAAGGGAGAGTAAGAAAGGTCAATAAGAAAGCCACCTGCTCCGAGCTGCAAACTCTGAATTGGTAAATGTTTTAAACTCGACGTTCAAAACTATTCTACAGCTTCAGAAGAGACGGCCTGTTTGACTGTAAAGCTTGTTACAAACGTAAGCAGTCAGCTACAGTACTTTTTAATGTTGCGAATGTGCACACGTGTGTGTGTGTGTGAATGTGGGAGTGAGCGTTACGTGAATATGTAATTGCGCGTGCGTGTGTGCGTGTGTGTGTGGGAGCGTGAGAGGGTTCTGTGTAAGCTGCTGGCAAAAACCCATTCTTAGCACAGAGTTGGGTTTAACACGATTGGTGAAGAAGTGGCCTCCCAGGAGAGTGGGGTTAGTGTCTGTGAGTTGGGACAATGGAAGTCTGGGCAGGCATATGCTGTCACGCCTCCATCTGTTAGCTAACATTTAGGAATGAAACATATACACACACTCCTGACCCCTGACCCTAGCTTGCCACTTTCATTCTGCAGCATATGCCCTGCCTTTTTCAGCCTCATGCAGCCAAGGCAAAACGATCGCTTCACCCTGCTCTGAGGATACAGCAATGAGCTGGCACGTATAACACCAAAGCACATCGTAAGACGACAGTGATAGGAGAGGTGGCCAAAGTGCCTCAGAGGCCAGGGTATCGAGCTGGCATTGCTAAGTTCCTAAGTTCGAATCCAGGCAGCTGCCTGTGTTTTACCTGGGTGTTCAACTGCGAGTTAACGGTCTCGGCCTGGTCACCATTGACTGCACAAAACAAAAACCACGTACCTTTGGTTGTGCACTCAATTGCCTCAATTTTATCTCTGACAGATACAAATATTGGTCGTACTGCCATGCGATGAAGCTTGTCCTCACGTGGCACAGTGGGTGGAGAAAGTGCTGGCCACTACTCTGTGGACGAGAGGTCACTTGAAGGGCTCTCAGAAGAAGTTAGCTCTGTGATATCGGCTTCTGTTGGCCATTCTCGAACACGAAGGGCTGCACTCGTACAGGAGATGCGATCGGATCATTTGTATTATGACAATGACACCGATGGCAAAACTGTAACAATATAGGGGGAGGGTATAGATGAATTCAGGAGAATGATGATGACAATAATTATAAATAAACACCTATATTCATGAGTTACAGCTAGTTAGGACAACCCTGTTTCCTGCGTAATGAAAAAATTCAGTTACAGGCTTTAAAGGCCAGATAGTTTTTTTTTTCTGAAAATAACTGAAACGGAAAGCGTGCCATTTTGCAGCGATGGGTAATAAACATTAACTATAAATCCTAAACAAAAATAAATACAGAAGACATGCGACACCTGCCGTTTAAACAGTAACGTTAACTATAAAAGCAAAAAAAAAAATGCTATATTGACGTACATTAGCGAGAAGGGCAGAGTCGCTGATTACGGAAACCCCAAGAGCACGCTGTGAGCGTCCGCATTCGTGCAAAGCTCTTACAGTCACACGCATCCTCACGCGTGTCAAAGGTGAAGAGCATGCACAGCCATGCATGGACACGGACGCTGCATAATACAGCACAAATGTGTGAGATTATGTGTCGCACATTATAGGTAGAGAGGTACAACCCTCGCTATGGTTTGCTCACGCCACTGCCGGGAGAAGTGTCTCCACTTAAAGGAAGCTCTGTAGAGACCACCCCTTTAGAGGGTATCTTGGCCTACTCTTCGAAGACGACTGGACGTCTTCAAGGAAACGGTGCTCATAGTACTCACATTTTAACCCCACCACATGAGGCCTGCGGTACAACTGTTGTCTTCCCATTTATACTGCTGGCTTGACGGAGGCAGGGGGATTTCAGAAACTTGCCCCATTGTTTCGACTGCCATGCCGGACGATCGAATCAAACCGGCGACCTCTGGATTCCAAGTCAAATGTGCCTACCATTACATTACGGCAGCGTTCCTACACATCCTCCACCGGACACATCTAACAAGATGCAAGCTGCACACGGAAGCACGGGACTTCCTCTGGTCTGCAATAAAACGCGCCGGAGAAAGGTTTTTGCTTAATCTCTCCCACAAGAACAGACTACGTTAGAGCAATGAACCCACTGTCCTCGGGAAATGCCTATGAATGACTGAATTCATCTCAACTCTTTATTTTTAACAAGAAAATGTTGAATGCAACGCCCCCTCCGTTCGCAATATACCGATGATTTCAGGAAGTTTCCAACGCTCGGCTAATGTGTCTCTTGTGATAGTGAGAATGCAAATGAGCCTCCAACAACTCGGGCAACAGAATATCCCAGGATGCATCGTAAGCATCGTGTGTGATGCGCCACCAACAAATGAACCTTCGTCAACAACGTTTTCCAGTGGTGTTTGTTTAAACGGGACGAACCATAGTCAACAACTCATTGAATGCGCTTTCAAATGTATGAAGAGGTTTTAGATATTGTGAATTGCTTTTATGCCCGTATTTACTAACTGCTTCATTGGCGCAGTATGCCACTGGTGACCTCCCATTGAACAGAGGTTGAATGGGGGTTTGAAGAGAAAATTCAATAGTCACTTGAAGAGTCCAACTGCCACTTCAACAGACCCTCTCTCACCCATCACCAGCCGATGCGCCGTCATCCCCTGTGGGTGACTCTCCATTTGGCAGTCTGATGAGTTTGTAAATTTCCCCTCTCAAAGATGCCACCTTCGACCGAATTAAAAACCAGGCCCCTGTGACCAGGCCGAAACAATACAACTTGTAAAAACATAAGAGTTTATTTAGGCCAAGGCAATGAAACCTAGCTTTAAATCCAAGAACCTCAATGTTTTTGTGCTAAAATATGCACTGCGAGGATGCAAAACGTGTAGTGTGCTCACGGCAGCATCCCTTGAACATGCAAGAGCATGCACTTGAGGCGCCGTGGCGGCGAGGTGTTAACTACCTCGCCTGGTATACAGGAGGTCGTGGGTTCGATCCCGACCCTAACGGTAAATTTGGAGATTGCATGTTCTCCGTGGTCACGTAGATTTTTCTCCAGCTCCTCCGGTTTTTGTCTCCGCATTTAGAAACATGCGTTGAAAGTGTTTGGCTGCGATACAATTCCACATGATGATAAGCCACCTCGTTGAGCTATCATTTGTGGCCACGTTGCTTCTGGAAAAAGAGCTATACAGCTCAGTGGGCCTTACCTGGTAAAATACAAAGTTTAGTTATTTTTAACTGCTCACAAAAGTTCAGATTAAGGATGTACATAAGCAGCAGTGGGACTGACATCTGAGCATTGAGCAACACGCTGTGATTAAGAGAGAGGAATCCTCTTTTGACGTTTCCCAGCTCAATGCAATCGTTCCATTTGAAAGATACATAAAAAATGCATCACTCACAGTGAATGTTATATTCCAAGGGAGCATTATGGGAGAAATGTGGTTGCTTTAAATGTGGTGTAATGAGGACACTGTAGACTGCACTGTTATACGTTTCATGAGCAGTGCATTCATTTCGCTGCTTTTGAAAGGTGCTATCCTACGTCATAAAAGTGAAGGGATAAGATAAATGGATCATTCACTAAATTTGCAGAGTGCATTATTTAATGTTATGGACAAGTTTCTCTTTGAGTGATAACTTGATAACTGGACTGCAGCTTTGGAGCTTTGTGCTGGGAGGTGCAAGTAGATTGTTGTGGCCAACTGTACCAAACACACTCCAGCGAGGTCGATGAAAACATCTCAAGACAGCTGGTTCACGTCCCAAGCACCGTGCGTTCTCCTCAGAACAAGAACTGTGGCCGTTTCTGTCACGAAAGCTGCCGAATTCAGATAGTTTGGCTTTAAAATAATTTTGTCATTAAAAGGCACCCCGAATAGTTACGGAGCACATTCAGGAGAAGTACGTTCAACTTAAGCAAACCTCACTGAAGGAGAAAATTCCTCGTATTGGCAGTGGTTGTACTGGCCTGCAACGTCTGTATCTGTGAATAGGTTGCACAGCTACGTTGGTGGAGGGTGGAATGTCGCGATGGCTGTGAATGTGGACTCACTCCGCAGGAAGGTGGCGAGGTCATAGAGCACGCGGTCATCCGAGCTGCCATCCCAGCGGCCAAGCGCCACGCCATTAAATGGTTGCAACTGAAATGCCTCGCGCTTGCTATCCACCATGATCACCTTGGACATGTCCCGATTGAGACATGAGAGGTCCTGCATATGACACAACATACACACAAACACAGCGCACCAACCATTACAAGTTTAGCTTCGTTTCCATTTGTATATTCGGTTGTATAAGTCGTATCAGCACACTAAATAATCATAATAATCATCAGCAACAAAACTGTTAATCAAACCAATCAAAAGCAGTGGAATTGCCATTAACTAAAAGGTTCGGTGACATTTAAAGCCAGCACACATCATGGCACTGACAGGTGGTCGGGCCTTGCTTTTCCCGAGCAGAAGGAATGGCAGACAAGCTGCCCCTGGGGAATCGCTAAACAAATACGTGCACAAAGGCACGCACACACGCACACATGAATTTGCCAGAAGACATGCATGTACGTACAGATCCACGTGCCAGTGTACGCCTGAAAACACACCTCCACCAAAACACATCGGCACATACATTTCATGTGCCTGTATGCACTTTTAAATCTAAATTGAAATTCATTTCTTTATATCTGAATTTTGTGTTTAGTTTGTTGTCCTTCCCTAGCACCTCCAATGAGCAGTGGGCTACGTATGGTGCGAAACAATTTAAACACACATACATGCCCTTGATGTCTGAATATCATGTGCACGTTTTAACATAAAGACGTTCGTGCGCTGTACAGATGGACACCGACCGGTGCACAAGATCACACCAAGTGCCACCCGACCAGCACAAAGATTCCCCGTGTAGCCTTAACAGACTAGTGGGGCAAGTGCTGTTAGTAAGCGCCTGTGAAGGCCGGCACGGCACACGAGGGGGCGAGTGGCCAGCACCACGCTCGACCGCCTTTATTTCCCCAGTGCTAGCGATGTTTACACACCAGGTACTCATTTGAGGCCGAGTCGACATAGGGGAGGCCCGGGACCGGTTCAGATAATTGTCACTGGTATTGGCCGTGAGCAGGAATCGAACTTGGGTCGCTGGGTTCGTAGCTCAGCTACGAACCCAGCGACCCGCTACACCACCACTCCCCACCAGCACACACACAGCGACACATGTTTAGAAGCCACCAATTTCAGTGTGCATATAAACAGCACCACACAAGCACTTACGACAATGCCGGGAAAACATGGCGAACACATTGAACACAAGCACATGCACTCGAGCGAATATGTTATTACTATCACAGAGACACACAATAATAGCATTCAGCGGCAGATCCAAAAGGGGGGTACGTTGAATTATTTGTTTTATATTAATGTATGGCCCCTTTTTAAAAAGCTTGAAATTTCGGGATCGTCCCCCGCCCCTGGGATATTTCTAGATTCGCCTCCGATACAACAGCATTCATGTACACACTCCCACATACTCTCACACGCTGTACGTGCTTACACGCAGGCCGGCGTGCACATACAACAGACACACACATGTACACGCCCACGTGGGCAAATGCACACAAATCCAGAAGGAACGCTCTTGCGCGCAAAACTCTTTGCAGTGTCCACCACTCACACAGCAGGCATCCTCCAGGGACGCGGGGCGGAACACAGGCTGCTCTGCCGACAGATGGTGCGGGCTAAGGCTCGCATGTCCATGCTAATATCTCTAGTGGATTTATTCTCACTTTCCCACACTAATTATCACAGCTTGAAAACAAAACTCCACACAGCAAGGCAGGCCTGTTTAACATGCAACTTTAAAGCTGCAGACCCCCACCGCCACAGCAGCAGCAGCACGCTGTCTTAGCGGCTGCGTGCAGGACGTAAGGGAGCCATGTTGAGAAACAAGACTCAAGCGTCCACACAATGGACGTAAACAGTTACGTTGATCTCAATTTAAGGTTACCGGTGAAGACGCACGGACCAGTTGCGACTCCCAAGCACTGTTAGAAATTCAGATAAAAAAAGTGGTGAAAAGTTCATGGGCCATAGTAGAATTTGGCGCTTGTTTCTGTATATGGCTAAAGTGGATGAGTCGTACATATTAGATAAGCTTACTATAGAACAAAAGTATGCAACTTTATTGTAACGTGCCATAATGTACGTATGAAATGAGGTTACTTAATGTTTCACTTTTGTTGATGTATGTTGAACTTCTTTCGCGCCGTACATAGCAAACCATCCTAATCGGAGGAGCGAGAGAAGCACAAAAAACTAAACACAAAAATAACTTTTAAAGAAATGAGTTTTCAATCTAGATTTTAAAGTGCAAAGCTTAAGCGGGTTCCTAATGTTAAGATGCTTGTAAAGTAGAGTGCAGAGTTGTCATCTCAGGTGGTACCAACAAGTTAACTATATTGCCTGGGCCCATGGACTACAGCGACTTGAGAGTAGACTTCAAAGACTTTGAGTTTATAATCAAATGGGAAGGCAGAGGAGGGGAATGAGTTTATGACTTCATCAGTACAGAGAAAAGTGCTACTTTGTGCGGCAAGGCTGGCAAGGATGCAGTTCGCATGAGCACGTCTGGTACAGAAAACTGGTGGAAGAGGCAATGGCAGGCAACTGAGAAACGAGATGAACGAGTGGGAGTGCCGAGTCATAATTCAGATGGACAGCTTTTGATTGGATCCTAAAAGGAAATGCGGCGTCGACTCTGATGCACTACTTCATACATGGAAGCTGTGCTCTTTTCCAGAGTAATGATTTGAAAAGTGAAGAGTTGCTTTTTGTGAAGCACAGATTTTGCATGAAAAAATCTAATTACGTTTTTGGCAGACACCCTGAGCAAAAGAGATTGTGTGAATTCCAAAATATGTTAGAAGAGAAAGAGATGGATATATTGAGGATAAGAATGTTGGGGTCATGGGTAGAAGGAATAAATTAGAAACATATGAGAAGGGTATTTTGGTATTTGTACTAGAAAATTTGTTTGTGTCTTAGGTGTACGATAGATGACAAGACTGTTCCAGCTCCAATGATTCATCGCTGAAAGGCCAAAAATTAGTGTGCAATGTAATCGATTCCATCTGCTGCAGATTTTTGTAGCATCCAGCTTGAGTTCTGAATAAGGAAATGCAACGAAGTGCAGAGTCACCAGTGTGAGTGTGAATCACATTTCTTGTTGGGGAAATGAGACGATAACCAAGAGGAAATTGGGTGGGGAACAAATCAGAGCCCAAAAGTTTCATCAGCATCAATAGAAAATTAGCTTAAGCATGGCACCATTCTGAACAGCGGACAGAATAACCTGTCAGCTAAAAAACACGAGCAATTATGGTGCAATGATGTAGCTTCACACCATTGGGGTGGATGCTTTTGAATGGAGTCCCAAGTGCCAAACTCTGTTAAAAGTCAAGATCAAGAGGTCATCACGGCCAATGCTGTTAATGCCACCACACCTCATCCCTGCCGCTGCCTTCCTTCTGCTCGACCTCGCAGCTGTTGCTAAGTTGACGCCCGTTCTCCAAGGTCTCCTGTCACATCTCACCGCCTGGCTATAAGGTCTTCCCCTCGGTCACCAGCCTTTGGGTGCTGCTCCGATGTCTCTCGGTAACCCTGCCCTCTCCGTAAACCTGCCCTCCTTCATCGTGCACACATGCCCTCCCATTGCAACCACCTCTTCCTCAGACAATCGATATCTTCAGAAATAAAATAAGCATTAAGAAATGTTTCTTTGTGTGTGTGTTTAAATGACGAAAATTCTTAACCCAATAAAACATTTGTGTGAAGCGGTCTTTCTTAAGAAGGCCCTACATGGGATAATAAAATCCTTTTGCCCTTAACAAAACTCCTCTAATCCTTCATATTATTTTTCTCAATTGTTCACGGATTCCCAATAATATGCTGATGAATGACGTGCTTTTGTCGTAGCAGGCTTATGCCAAAATGCATTCGGCCACAGACCATAAATGATGAGCAATCTCCACATGAGTAACTGATAGGAGGCGATGACATGGTGCACATTTATTTTTCAGGGTACAGCTCAATCTCTGAAGCGCTCTCCAAGTAGAGATGACATGCAGTAACGATTACTTAATTCTGAAATATTACGGGGAAGTACACTTCGCCGCTTTCCCTGTGATGTATTTTATTTTCTACCTACGTGACTTTACCGAAGGAACCAAAGAGTGTGGATTCCTGCAGTCACGAAAGCTTCAAATCAAGATTTTCCCTGAAGTGTTTAACCTACTCATTGTGCATTAACCATGGCTAAACACAAGCTCAGGCCATGGCGGTCAGACAGACAGGAGTGCCCATGACCTCATCTGCACACACTTTGTCCACTTGGGACATGAGACGATCTCACACGCGAGCCTGCCGAGTGATCATGTGACTCAAAAAACTAAGACTGCGGCGGTGCTCACCTGATTGCTAGGAGAACTACAACGTGAACACCACATGAACTCATCTACCTCCTTACATGGTCAAATTTCAGGGTAGTAATGTTGCCAGGCAGTACGCTTACTGACGAGTTTGCAATGTGGCTAGTTTAAGTCGACATCTGCACAAACTCTGTGGTTAAATACAAACACACGCTGCTTGCTGTTAAATGGAGATTCAAGATCGTGTGACACATTAACTCATTGTCACCATGTGAGAATGATGCTGTCCTCATCCAAATTAGGTGGAGAGCGGTGGTGCGGTGCTTTGAAACTGGTGAAGTCAGTTCAATTTCTGGCCAAGGCTAATAAGGCATTGGACCCCCTCCCCCCGCCCCACCCAAAGGGCTGTACAATACTATTAAATATTATGTAATTAAAAAAAACCCATACATAACCAAGGACATCCATAGCAGCTCTGCAAAAAATAAACCTCAATGAAATCTAACCAGCTTGAAACATTAGCTCACGCTTCATAATTTTAATATTTTAATGTGCAACATTTCATAATAGTGCACAACACGTGTTAGAACAACTGCGACCATATGCAGCGGCTTTTGACAACTCTTCAGAAATACCTAGAATAATGTCATCATGTTCGTAGCGAGCTGCGAGCATCTAACAGCTGCGAGGTGCGTTTGTGCAGGCACGCACGCTACGCGCACGATACAGCACGTGCGAGCACTCGGCATGTGATTAAAGGAACTTGTCTGCAGGGGGAACGTGGAATGCGTTAAGTGCAATTCAAATAGTTGCGTTGTCAGATGCAGAAAGAGAGAGAGAATCTGTGTTCCCATGGGTATAATTTTCCGATCCAATCCTGGTCTGGACCAGGGTGAGACTGGGGACCCGAGCATTTGTAATCGATAACCTGTCCCAGGCCCATGAAAGCAATCCTAGAGTGCTCTAGGTGGGGAGGTCAATAACGTGACCTGCAAAGATCACTGCCAGCCTTACCGACTGCGTTGGCATCACACACTGCTCCTCTGCAAAAAGGTGCAGCCTATTTTTACCTCGCAGTATGATTGTTTTTTGTGTAATTATAAATCATCATTGAGGTGGAGTCTTGGCACAGTGATTGGCATGCCGGCGCTATAAACCTTGGCGACCTGAGTTTGATTATCGGCCACGGCTAAAATAAGTTGGGGAGTGATATCTGAACTGGTCCCGAGTTCTTCCTTCACCTGGGGAAACATCATCCATAACTAACATTGTGTAGCAGGGAGGTATTCATCCAGCAGTAGACTGAAAAAGCGCTAACATTTATTATTATTCCTAAATAAACATTACCGTGAATTATCAAGGCGTTAAAGACAGTTATAGATATTGTGGAGTTATCACAGTATCCTGCACCGAGGGAAAAACAAACCCCATAGGGATTGAATACGCACAAATATGCATTACACGTACAAATATACAGCAATGCACGTCTCCACCATCATATTAACGCTGCCTTTAAACATTAAAAAAATGTAAACAGCTAATGTTTCAGGCAACAAGCCTTCGTCTCCGCCGAAGAAAGGAAAAACAGTGGGGGTTTGTGTGTGGGAGATTGCTCACAGAAATGTCACACGTGCAACCTCACTCAAACTCAGTCGGCAGCGTTTCATCGTTTGGCTTGACTTCATAGTGATAGGCATCTTAATTGAAATGAGGCCATTATTATGTTATGGATTCCAGTTACATTATTAAGACAAACGACGTTGGTAATTTTTGTCTGGTGCTTTTCACCCACGCCTGAAAGGTAAATATAATAAATAAATACAAGTTTAACCCTTGGACAATCTATTGCTGGGTTAGAATTAACTGGATAAGATCATTCTTAAGCACAATAACAAAGGAACAAGTTCACACTGCCAATTAGTTTCACATTTCTGAATCACAACACCAACTGGGCTTGGCTACCAGCAGCAACTTTTAATTACGCTGTGTGAAACTCTCACGTATCAGCTGAAAGCAAATCGATTCGGAATTTCCACCATACAAAATATGGACCCCACTTCACTTGTAATAGACAATGCAGCGGTGGCTAGGCAAAGCATAGCCACATCCTAACACATACCACAGCACCATCTAGTGGAAAATGGTTCCAAACGACCTCATAAAACAATCGGTCATTTTTTCATATATTTTCTGCACAAAAGCCGATAAGCAAATCACCCAGAATGTGCCACATCTCGAATACGATGGGATTCTTTGTGAGGTCATCGTTAATCGGGCCGAGACCATCAACTTGCTATACCTGAGAACCCAGTTGCGCCATTGGGAGAGGTCCAGATTAGATTCCAGGATCTCGGTGGTGCCGCCTGCATGCTCTGTACACTGCGTTTCCCACCAGAGCTGCCCCACGCACACCTCACCTTCACATGCTGGCCCTGCAGGTAGCGCGTGGCGTCCCGGAAGAGCCGATACATTATGTACCCCTGGGGATCGATGCTGTCCACCAGCGGAAACGCGGTCTGTATGCATTCACAGTACCACCACGCACAGTGGATATATCGTCAAATAAATGTTGGCATCTTTTCATTTATTGTTTTATAACAATTAATGGTAATACCTGCGTCAAGACGTATGGGTTGAGAAAAAAACATCATTCATGAAAAATACAAAATAGAAACTGAATAGTGTGCAAAGAGACACATTAAAGTGACCAAGTGATGGAGAGGAAGGTGTATAGTTGCACACACCTACTGCTGTTGTTGACATGAACGTGGACAGGCCTTCATCTCCCCCCCGTCGAAGGCAAAACGCTGATAATAATGACAATGTTTGCATGGGAAGACTTTGTCTTACGATAGTAGCTGCTATGATGGCCAGGAAAATCAATAAGTTGCTGCAGCATTTGTGTACATCCTCATTTGACCAGACCTATTCAGAGTGAGCAAGCTTTAACAAAATTATGTTGTCTAAATAAAATGAGTATGGGTTTCCTTGGAGAGACTGAATTAAGACGTGTTATATAAAAATGTGTGCTGAGATTCCTTAAGAGACTTAACTGACTAACAACGGTATAAATATTGCCTGTGAATGTACAATTAGAAAAATCATGGCAACATTATGGATTTTTTTTTTTCCCATGGAAATATTTTTAAACAAGTAGAATGCTGCCGTGGCATAATTAATGGTTCGCACGCTGGACTTGCGGTCTGGTTCAATCTCCCGGTGCGACAGTTGAAAAATCGTGCAAGTTGCTTAAATTCCCCTCCGCCACTCCCTATCTCTGCCCACCCAGCAGAATAAATGAGCACACTACAGCTAATCGGTAGCTCGCGTGTGGCAAAGTGTGGGGGAGCGGTGATGTAGCGGTTAGCACGCTGCGCGACGAATCCGGCGGCCAGAATTCGATTCCTGCTCACGGCCAACACCGGTGAAGGTTATCGGAACTGGTCCTGGGCCTCCCTTAGGTCGAATCAGCCTCAAATAAGTGCCTGGTGCGGTGTGTAAACATCGCCACTTGAGAGATAAAGGCAGCCAGGCGTGGTTGTTGGCCACCCACCCCACGTGCCGTGCCGGCCTTTATCGGTGCTCGCTACCAGCACTTGTCCCAAGTCTTTTAAGGCTGTACGGGGGATCTTCGCATTGCCATCTCTTCCCAGGACGTCTGGCCAGCGTATGGATGAGCATGGACAAAATACCGTCGAGAGGGGCTCTCCAGAGCTCCTTCGATGGGAGGCCTTTCCACCGCCGGCAGTGGCATGAGCAAACGATTGCGGGGCTGCACGTTCTCCTAAAATAAAGGTGGAGGGTGTAAAGCAGACGGTCATGCATACCAAGCCTGTTTCCGATGTGAAGACGACGATCTCGAACAACTGGCCCACCTGCTGCAGCAGATAGTCGATGCCAGGACGCTTCTTAAATCGCCACCCTGTGCTCAACTACAGGCAAAAAGGCAACCGCACAGACTGCACGTCAGGATAGGTTAGCTGTTCACATTTATCGTATGAAACATCGCCATGTCCACGTGACAGTTACACGACGACATAGTGCACTATTTAGGAGGACACACGTTAAACGCACAGGATGTGACCAATGGCGGAAAAACTGATATCGTTCAGGGTCCACGCAACCCACGGGGAACAAAGCATAAACCTTCAACTATGCATGGTGTTAATCTGCAATGGTGAAGTAACGTCCTTGGTGTCCTGATTAATTTATTGATTGGCGGTAGGCCGAGTGCCTGAACATGAACACGCATTTATTTGCACGAACGTCTATTTGATCACAAGCATACAAATGTGCGCGTGCGGCTGGCTGGGCACGTGTCCATGTGCATGCTCGCGTCCCATACCGACCACTCCGGGTGCAGCAGCACATCGGTGAGCTCGATGACGAGCGTGTAAGGGGGCTGGTAGTATGGCTCGCGGAGGGGGTCCGGCAGCAGCTTCTGGCTTGTCGGCTCAATGATCATCTGGGTAAAAAAAATATAATCGTCGGTCATATACGATCATATCGATCCTCATTTGACAACGATTATTTGGGTATCCCATTAGTAAAGAAGCTCCCAGCATGTGGAGCGAAGTATCAAACATTGTGCCGAACAACACGCGTTGCATGCCGAAAGCACAAAGCACACAAACAATATCCTGAAGCAGAACATTAGTGCCACTTTTGCGAATTGTATTAGCAGCTTTGATCCTTACCTGTGTATCGATAGTGCCATGTTAATTTGCCATTTTATTGAGGGAATACTGTGTGATTCAATCTAGATTGTAGTAATACTGTGTGATGTTATCTTGGTGTGGTCTGGGACTGCTTTTGTTGTTGTTTTTGCTGCCTTGCCCAATCTTGATAAATCTGACTTGTATAATTAATTATTTCTATTTAGTGACTCGCTTACCTTTTTCTCTATTTTGCACTCCTATTGTTCTTAGCATCTTCTGTTGTTGCAACTTGCTGACCCGCCCATAGCGGGCATCTGTGAAAAAGAGCTTTGCAGCTCATTGGATCCCTCCAGGATAAATACAAATTCTGATTCTGAAATCGCAGAGCTGGTATCCCATATTCAAGGGTAGCAATACATCTTAAAAAGCACAAGAGGAAATCTCCAAATTTTGGAACACAGCATGCATGCAATCACATGCGAAAGGAAATGATTCAATAATTGGGGGCACCAATTCTTGAATCACGTAATCTGGAGCACACCGCAGAGGTTAGAGATATAATCTGCTAAGGTGTTTTTTTGCGCCATAGCGGTGCGCCGTGGACTAGGGGAGCAAAGAGCTATGTGATTCCATTCATCCGCAAATTTTTTTGTCCATTTCAAGGGAAGCGCAAGGTATGTGACTCACAGCTAAATTAGCGGAATTCCAAGTCACGAGTTTGAAGTGATCCAAATGGCACAAATCCACAATATTGGTCCACATCAAATGATTGTGCATTATTTTAGACTTTATATCCAAGCCAATCTTAATGAAAAAAATGAAGCATGATTCTTCAAATGCGATTTGGAACAATTATACAATGCTGTTAATAACATTAATCCAAATGCAAATATTATGATAAATATCTTGTTGCGAATTCCTGCGTAATTTGAGATGGAATTCCCAAGTGGTCAGATGCTAACTACCTCGCCTGGTATACAGGAGGTTCTGGGTTCGATCCCAACCCTGATGTCTGTATATTTTGAATTTGTATGTTCTCCCTGTGGCCGCATGGATTTCTCTCAGGGGTCCTCCATGGTTTTCCCCTCCACATTTAGAACATGCACTTACAGTATTGGCTGCTATAAATTTCCACTTGATAAGCCACTTAATTGGGCTAAAAGAGCTATGTAGCTCAGTGGGCCTTACCTTGTAAAATAAAAAAAATGTTTAGATTTAGGGATGACAGGATGGCTACAACTTAGACAAAAGTACGTGGAAGCAGAGCGCCACCTATTGAAATAGTTTGCACAGTGTGAATGAGCATTCGGTTTTGAGAAATATTTTGTGGGCAATCAAGACATATTGCCATCAATATAGGCGAAAAACTAGAATTAAACTACTGCTGCAAGTAAAAATCACGAAGAAAAAGGCGTCACTGTACTTACATTCGCGTTTTAAGGTGAGGCTATCTTTGATGACACATTCACATTTGTTTTAAAACACTAGGGTTATACATTCAAATAACCTACGAAAGTCCCAAATTCTCACCGTTAATAGTGGCAAGTAATTGGAGAAAGCTTATGTGACAATACCAAGCTGCACTCACCTGTCTGTAGTCCTTGAAGTACTGATAAGCACGTCTCACTTGTTGTACTACAACGGGATCTGCAACACAATACACACCATTGTCATTCCGTACGCAGGATAAGCGTACATTGTCCTGTTGATTTATATTTATGGTGGGTGTTAACAACAAACTATGGAATAAGCACATATGGATAAAAACTGTCGCAGTCGATAATATGAATTATGACTTCCAAGATTGCGATTCTGACGTCCTGGATTTAGTTCTGATGATAAATGTACAGTAATCCCTCGCCAATCGCGGAGGTTAGGTTTCTGGAAAAGGCTGCAATAACCAAATCCACGGTTGGTAAAGTACAGGGCGTTTGGGAAAAATGGGGTAAGAGCAACCAAATCCACGGTTGGTAAAGTACAGGACGTTTGGGAAAAACGGGGTTAGAGCAACCAAATCCACGGTTGGTAAAGTACAGGGAGGGCGTTTGGGAAAAACGGGGTTTGAGCAACCAAATCCACGGTTAGCGAGGGATTGCTGTCGTTTCAAATGAGACGTCAAATCTAATTCCTAAACTTGGCTGATAAAATTGTCCTTCAATTTACCTACGGTGAATGGAAACAAGAATAATTGGCAAGTTAAACGCTCGAACACGAGAAGATTGATTTGTTTGGTTGTGTTGGATGGTGGAAGGTAATAACGACACAGAATTTTTTTTGGTACAATAATTGTGGCCTAACCCAAAAATGTATTATGAATCATGGGCAAAAATGCAAACTGGAAAACACCATTTGGCTACGTTGACGTAGATTTATGGCGTGGCAAATGAAAACATTATTTTCTATCAGAGACATGTACAGATTACATCACAAGCGGTACTTTTCATAACAAAAAGGTGAAAATAAAGTGACTCCTATTCTTCTTTCATATGGTGGGGGAGTTGACCAGCAACGTCCATGTGGAGGCTGGTGAACTAGTCAACAGCTTCAAGAGTAACAATGCTGTCCATGAATAATACCTGAGCGCTCCCACATCATTAGCGACTACATAGCAGCCAGTGCAGCCAAAGCGAAGGTGAATGCAGAATGAGGCAATGACAAAACATAGTCGTCAGTATATGGCCGACAGCCCATTCGTGAGGCTATGTACACATCATACAACACGATTTAAAAACATGAATATTCAAAGTTCCACATGATAACATTAGCTGAAATCATGGTCTCTAAATGATAGCTTTCATCCTGTTCTAAGTGAAAAAAAAACGTCTTTCATTCCCATAGCATGATATACCAAAAACGTGCACCTGTAAAATTAACCAAACATGCTCTCTGACATTGCACCTGGCAATTACAAGCCATGTCTTCTTCATAGACATACTAATGGTTGTTTATGGTCATGACAAATGCAGTGCACGTTCTGGTTAATTTCTGCTCCCAAATGGGTCCTTACCATTATCAAATTCATCCGGCACCTGTGGATAAAAAACCCCATCAATTCACTGCTCATGTGTTCACACTAGATTCACACGCAAAAACAGACACACAATCCATGAAAACTAACATGTAAGGTCAGACAGAATCCACATCATTGACTTGACAATCCTGTAAACGTTTAAGGTACTACTGAACTATGCCACCCGGTTTACTTTGCAACTTGTCCAAAGTACAAAAATATACGTAGACACTTAAATGAGAAGGAAATGTGCTAGCAATGTTTCTTGTTGTGTGTTTCTTAGCTTGTACAAGAGATGAACATTGTATTCAGTTGAGCACACGTCTTATGTGTGCAGCTTAGTGATGTCTTAGAAACATGCGTTGAGTATTTGGTTACTATGCATTTCCATATGATCATTTGTGGCCAGGTTGCTTCTGAAAAAGAGCTATATAGCTGTGGGCCTTACCTGGTAATAAGAAATATTTAAAAATACTTTTTAAAAAACACGCTTTAATGAAATGTACCGTACTCGTAATGCCAGAACTCCACGACTCCAGGAAGTGGCCACAAAGCTTGCCATAACGTAAGGGGCCGTGGTGATTTACAGCCAACGTCAGTTGAGCGTGGACAATTAGACCCAAGCCGAAACATAACAAATTAAAAAATAATGTTTAAAAATATTTTTTTTGATAGAATATAGTATTGTCATCAGTATGACATAAGTATACCAAGTTTTCAATCGAAACCACATTGGGAAGTGGGTTAAAACTGAGTTACAAGATTTGAGGATACGACAATAACAGAGTTAAGAGAAAGCGTGTAAAAAGATCGTTGTAAATGTTTTTATTTTTTATGATAGAATATAGTATTGTCATCAGTATGACATAAGTATACCAAGTTTGCAGTCGATATCACATGGGAAGTGGGTTAAAATTGAGTTACAAGATTTGAGGATATGACAACAGTGAAATAAAAGTGTGTAAAATAAAACATAGAAATAGAGATAACACGCACCTCCTTTCCATCTTCGTCCAGTGCATTGGCCCCTGTTAGCAAGAGCAGATGCAATTACATGGCACACTCATTCATAAAATGTTAAAGCAATTGTTTGTGTAATCGATATGGCACATAACAAACATAACTATGGAAAACAAATACACATTAGTACACGCAGCATTTGGTGAAAAATTGTTAGATTTCCTTTATTTTTATGAAGTTTTGTTAACTTTTCCACAGTAAATATACGCAGTCTTCCCAGTTTTCGACCAAGCCCTAACTTTACATTTCGGTATCAATTGCTTTTGGGATAACCCTTTAATATACACACTGTACACATGCAACCAAGAGCAAGATTGTATCTCTAGGGCAGGGGTCAGCAACCTAAGTAACAAGAAGAGGCATTTTTTCCGAATTCGGTAAAAAAAAACCCTCAATATTTCAAATACCGCACTGCAATGTGGTGAATACGAGACGGTTGGTCCTTAATAAATGACGTCACGACAGCAGCAGTCCTTCAAGAGTCGCATGCGGCTCAGGAGCCGCTGGATGCCGACCCCTGCCCATGGTAAACTGGACTTCCATTGTAAACTGGACGTCCATGGTAAACTGGGCTTCCATGGTAAACTGGACTCCCATGGTAAACTGGACTTCCATGGTAAACTGGACTCCCATGGTAAACTGGAATTCCATGGTAAACTGGACTTCCATGGTAAACTGGACTCCCATGGTAAACTGGACTCCCATGGTAAACTGGACTCCCATGGTAAATTGGACTTCCATGGTAAACTGGACTTCCATGGTAAACTGGACTCCCATGGTAAACTGGACTCCCATGGTAAACTGGACTTCCATGGTAAACTGGACTTCCATGGTAAACTAGACTTCCATGGCAAACTGGACTCCCATGGTAAACTGGACTTCCATGGTAAACTGGACTCCCGTGGTAAACTGGATTTCCATGGTAAACTGGACTCCCATGGTAAACTGGACTTCCATGGTAAACTGGACTTCCATGGTAAACTAGACTTCCATGGCAAACTGGACTCCCATGGTAAACTGGACTTCCATGGTAAACTGGACTCCCGTGGTAAACTGGACTTCCATGGTAAACTAGACTTCCATGGTAAACTGGACTTCCATGGTAAACTGGACTTCCATGGTAAACTGGAAGAGCCAGGAATGCATTGTGTTGTAAAAGCAGGAACCGCCTCCACTACGTGTTAAGAGTGTAAGAAACCAAGTAAAGTTAATTCAGTTTTGTCAAGAAACGGCTGCCCGCAAGGAGGCAGCCAAAGAGCCGCAAGGGGGCAGCCAAAGAGCCGCAAGGGGGCAGCCAAAGAGCCGCATGAGGCTCCAGAGCCGCAGGTTTCCGAGCCCTGCTCTAAGGGCAGTGGTAGCTCAGGGCTGACTTTCTCACACATCATACACTGACTCACTCACACATGCACTGACTCACTCACACATCATGCACTGACTCGCTCATCATACACTCGCACAACCACTGACCCATTCACTCATTATGCACAGGTTCACTCATCGTGTGCTGGCTCACTCGCACATCATACACTCACACTGCTGCTGACTCGCTCACACATCGTGCGCTGACTCACACATCATACACTCACTCACGCTGCTGCTGACTCACTCACACATCATACACTCACACATCATACACTCACTCACACTGCTGCTGACTCACTCACACATCATACACTGGGAGTGTCGTGCTGCCAGCTATGGCTGCAGATTTGGTCGTACGTGTTATGTATATCGTTTATTGTTAAATTTAAAATCACAGTTCCTATGATTACTGTTGTTACATTGTTTGTGTAGCCTTATTTTGGTAATTCGAAAACATATGGTTAATCTAAATTGTCTTATGGTTGTTGTTGGCTTGCACCAGATTGTGATTTTTGCACACAGCGTTTTAACAAGGTTTTTTGTGTGGAATATTTGCTGGTTGAATTCCAGGATGTTTCTGTTGCACGTCGTCGTTTTGGGATGTTCTGTATTCATATTTTGTTTGTTGTGGTGGCACCCGACTTAAGAGCCGCATGGCTCACAGGGCTATACCTAAATAAATGAAACTTGAAACCTGTGTGAAGAGGCGACAGACTGCACATGGGTCGTCCAGTCTCAGCTGATGCGTGCTGGTGGGTGATTGATACTTGAGGATTGCCAAGACGAAACGTTTGGATGCTGTCAGACCGCTTCCTACTGGGACACACCATGGATATCATGTGCCCATCTTGCGCAAGAATTGCAAGGGGGTTTCCCGCCTTCGGTAATTTTTAAGTGAACCCATGTAATGAACTACAAAGACGTGGCCGATTACAAATTCTAGACGGCCAGATTAACTTAATTGACCAATTATCCCAGCTGGAGTGTGGAGTTTAAACGCCACGGGAGGATTCTCAGGAGACCCCACCGTGACCTTGAGAGCACGTGGAGCACGTGTAACGTGACCTCACGCGCACGGGGGTGGGGGGCGGGGCTGTCATGCACGGGCGCCAACCCTCACGCCGAGAGACTTTAACGTCACCGGCGTGCTATGTCGTCATAGCACGCCAGTGACGTCACCGCGTTAACAAACACGCCAGTGACGTCACCGCGACGGGCCACACGGCGTCGTCATGTCGACGAACTCGACAGTGACACTATAGAGTCTTTTTGTTTGTTGTTGCATAATGAAACTCTTCACGTGGCACAGGGGCACGAGCCGCCGGCTCGAGAGCTACGCAGCCCGCGGGTTCCCTCACGGCCCGGGTCTGCCTCACGTCAAAGGGATCTCCCGCCCCCGAGAGCCCGTCTACCCCATCCACAGGCCAAGCGCACCCTGCTACCCCGACCCCTCACGACCCGTGGCCACAGCCCAGCCGGGTGCATTTTTACAGACTGCCCTCTTCATCCCGTGCCCTTAAATCTGGGGACCCCCCGGACCCCCGGCCCTCATCCCCTCCCCATGTCTGGATCCCCTCCACACCCGGACCACCTCCTGCCGGTCCCCCACGAGGACGCCTTGACAGCCCGGAACTCCTTCAGAGACCCCCCCCCACCACCACTTCTTGGCACGAGTAACCCACCGCCTCCCGGCTTCCAGCCTCGGGTCCCCGTCGGATCCCCTCCGTACCGAAGACGTAGACGCCGGCGACACCCCCGCAGAGCGCGAGAGCGCCCGCGAGGCGCAGCGCGAACCCGCGGGCCCGCTGTCGCCGCCTCCGCGTCTCCTCCTCATCCTCCTGCTGCTGCTGCTGGGGCCCCGAGACAGCGGCGGCGGCGGCCGCGGCTGCTCCCGCCAGCGTGGTGGCCCCGGGGCCGGGCGACGACGGGGCCGCACCGCTCCACGGGCGGCGATGGGACCCCGGGACCCCCAGGCGGGAGCAGAGCGGGGCCGCGAGACGCGAGTGGAGCGGGTGGTAGAGGGGAAGAGAGGGGAGAGCGGCGCAGACGCGCGAGCACATGGGGCGCACGAGCGCGGCCATGGCACCGCGCGGGGCTCCTCCTCTCGCTGGGGACGGGGGATGGGGGCGTCACCGTGCAGGGCTCCTCCCCCTCCTGGTTCTGGGGGTTCAGCCGGGGGGGGGGGGGTCACCGTGCAGGGCTCCTCATGGGGGGGGGGCGTCACCGTGCAGGGCTCCTCCCCCTCCTCCCCCTCCTGGCGCTGGGGGTTCGGCGGGGGGGGGGTCACCGTGCAGGGATCCTCCTGGGGGGGGGTCACCATACAGGGATCCTCTTGGGGGGGGGTCACCATACAGGAATCCTCTTGGGGGGGGTCACCATACAGGAATCCTCTTGGGGGGGTCACCATACAGGAATCCTCTTGGGGGGGGGTCACCATGCAGGAGTCCTCCTGGGGGGGGGGTCACCATGCAGGAGTCCTCCGGGGGGGGGGGTCACCATGCAGGAGTCCTCCTGGGGGGGGTCACCATACAGGAATCCTCTTGGGGGGGGTCACCGTGCAGGGATCCTCCTGGGGTGGGGGGGGGTCACCATACAGGGATCCTCCTCCTAGCGCTCGGGGTTCGTAATGTGGTGTACAATCCAGCAGTCCATACTCTTTGGTTCTTTCAGTGAAATCACGTAGGTGGAAAATACAAGATCACGACGCCTGCTTCGGCAGTTTCCCTGCTGTGATTGTCTCACCTGATGACGGTCGCTTGTGTTGCGATCGAAACGTCGTTATCTATTATTGTCTACCTACGTGACTTTACCGAAAGAACCAAAGATTCTGGATTCGTGTAGTCACTAAAGCTTCACATCAAGATTGAATCCAGCAGTCGTAGAATGACAGTACAGTAGTGTCTGCAGGTCACCGGCATTTATTACTCCCATTTCTGTCCACGTGCAATGCAGATACAACGTCGCATATCCGACTCGCTGGGGACTGGGGTATATAGGCAGATATGTCATTAGGTAAGATATGCAAACCTATATTCTCAGCTCTTTCGGTAAAGTCACGTTGAAGGGAAACAATAAAATAATAAAATATGTATGTAAAACAATATATTTTTTTATTATATATAAAACAATAATTTTTTTGTTATATATATTTTATTATTTTATTGTTTCCCTTCAACGTGACTTTACCGAAAGAGCTAAGAATATGAATTACTGCTGTCACGAAAGCTTTAAATCAATATGCAAACCTGTCAACCCCTTATCAGTGCCTACCTTATTACGGACAAATTCAGACCTTGTCACCCCGTGCCCAGTGCCGGATTATCCTCGTAGCAAAAGTATCTACATGTGGACCTTAATGCGGTCCCCCGGGGTTCCATAGTGCCCCGGCTCTCGCACAATGTCCGTGATGCAGTCATGTTTAGTCTCTGTTGATGGTCGGCGATGCGGCAATCGACTCATCTCGACGAGCTGTACTCACGATGCACTATTCAAGTTTGAATTTTTCAATGCTCATATTTGGCGTTTCGACACCGCGGAGTGGCACTGATTTCGGATTCATTGTACCCCAGTTGCGGAGTGAAGTAACACCCCTAGAAAAAAAAGTGTCCCCTAAATACAATATTTAATTGCCTCGGCCCATTTTGTATTATTTGGTACCCCGGGGTACCGTCATCAGGATCATTTGCTACGGGCCCCGCGCCAAATGCTTCCAAGCTATAAATTCCGGTTCAGTGATTGTGCACTTGCTCTATTACTATAGTACTATACCGCTTTCAACTTTTATGAACGACTGGGTGTTTAAGGTTAGCGATTTGTCATTATCTGGCTGTATAGCAAATGAAAAAAAAAATACAATTACTTTACTATGCAAGTTAAAAATTTGTGTTTTTTAAAAAATTTAGGGCCCCTTCATAACATATGCTACAGGCCCCGCACTAGCTTAATCCGGCACTACCCGTGCCCTCATAAAGCTCAACGTTCATCCTACAAAATCCCATCACAAGGGAGAAACATTTTTTTGCCCGTATTGAAACGGCTATAGGCCGTATGGACCTGAAAACTCAATTTCCCTGTACAAGAATACGGGTAAACCGTATGGGTTGGCATCTATGGATATGTGAACAGCTGTAGAACATTACGGTTATACCATGCAAATGGTGTACTTAATGTACTGCAATATGCGAGGGTAAACACCACTGCAGTACCTCATGCCGACAGCTCCATCCACTGCCCATTCGCTGTATTTAAGTGGCTTTGGGACCTATCATAGCTACAGATGCATCAGAGGGATCACAACCAAACATCACAACTACTGATGCAGTTATTGACATTTAATTAAAAAGTATATAAAAAGCATATCAAAACAGTAATTACATTGACAAATTACACAATAAATACAGTACTGCACTCTTACATTTATTAAGTACGATATACAGAATTTGAAAGTTGCGTAATATTTGGCATCGTGCCAGGGGCAGACGGTATAACGCTCACGCTGCAGATGGTGGTGTAACTTGTACAGCAAATCAAAATCCACGCTGCTTTGCACTCCGATAATTTGGGCAGATTTTGTAAAAACAAAAAAGACAATTGTGAACATTTAGGAAGATGTTTAATCCAAAAAGGGCGACGGTTATAAAGTTGAGACTGGCTGAGGTGTAAATTAACTGACACTAAAGGGGGAGTGAATACATTCAGAAATTAATATGGTTAATTCAATTCTAGTACTGCTGACGAGATTCAAAGAGAAAACATGATAATCCTGAATAAAGGATCTCGTATTTTCTCAATGGTCCACCAGCTGTTTTTGTTCACCTGAGGACGATTGCTGGTGTTGCGATCAAAACGTCGTGGTTTTTAACCTTTTAATTTTTTTTATCTACGTGACTTTACCGAAAGAACCAAATAATGATACAAATAATGCTTAATACATCGTAAATAAGAAACCATGGCCCCTATTCACATAAGACTTTAGGAATCCTATATCTGATAATTTGACTGATTGAGGGCAGTTTTAGGGAGATAAAAAATATTCTGCCAAATACTGCAGGTTGCAGTTAGGTTCTTTTTATGTTAGCAAAGCATTCTGCAATGCCTCAGTCTGCATAGCATAATGGACCAAAGTGGGTGCAGCTATGGCAGAGCTGATATATTATACAATATCCCTGCCATTCACGAGCCACAATTTCACACGTGGGAGCGTCAGGTGGGCATGGAGGCCTGCTATGGGTGTGGCATTCTGACACGCACTTTGAAATAACATTCACAAACATCTACCATTAAAGCAAACTATAACCATCCCATTACAAAAGCCATAAAGTTCCATATGCCCGGCCATTCTATACAACCAGCACATCATACATGTGTAGTGTGGTGAAATACGTGGCGCACACTGTTGGCCGAGGGCAACTGAGGACAAACGCGTGCGCGACACGAGGTTGCACAGGCAAACCGCCACTTAATTTGGGAGAGAAGTTGGTGCAGACCAGGTCAGCCTGGGGTTGCATGCTGACACCGGAGGTGTTGCGATGAGGGGTGATTGATGGCCTGACAGGCGCTAGCCTGTCTGGCCCTAAAGAGACACAAGGGAGGAGCTGGACAATTGGGAGGGGGATATAAGGATGGGCGTGAGAGCGGAGCGGGAGTTCGTGTTGCTGGGGACAAGAGAGAGAAGACGTCTCGCCGCTGCCGCTCAAGCTGGGAATGGACCTCAACCCTCCTGAGTCGCCGGGCGGGTCATGGTTGATCCCCCCACCCGGGAAGGACGAGTGAGTGGGTCTGAGGGAACGTAAACGAGGGCAGCGGTGGAGTGTGAGAGGCTGAGTACAAGCCTCTGTGTGAGAGCTGCTGTGTGCGAACCTCTGTGTGAGAGGCTGAGTGCAAGCCTCTGTGTGAGAACTGCTGTGTGCAAGCCTCTGTGTGAGAACTGATGTGTGCAAGCCTCTGTGTGAGGGCTGCTGTGTGCGAGCCTCTGTGTGAGAACTGCTGTGTGCAAGCCTCTGTGTGAGAACTGCTGTGTGCGAACCTCTGGGTGAGAGCTGCTGTGTGCGAGCCTCTGTGTGAGAGCTGCTGTGTGCGAAGCCTCTGTGTGAGAGCTGCTGTGTGCGAACCTCTGGGTGAGAGCTGCTGTGTGCGAGCCTCTGTGTGAGAACTGCTGTGTGCAAGCCTCTGTGTGAGAGCTGCTGTGTGCGAAGCCTCTGTGTGAGAGCTGCTGTGTGCAAGCCTCTGGGTGAGGGCTGCTGTGTGCGAGCCTCTGTGTGAGAGCTGCTGTGTGCGAGCCTCTGGATGAGAGCTGCTGTGTGCGAGCCTCTGTGTGAGAGCTGCTGTGTGCGAGCCTCTGGTTGAGAGCTGCTGTGTGCGAGCCTCTGTGTGAGAGCTGCTGTCTGCGAGCCTCTGGGTGAGGGCTGCTGTGTGCGAGCCTCTGTGTGAGAGCTGCTGTGTGCGAAGCCTCTGGGTGAGAGCTGCTGTGTGCGAAGCCTCTGGGTGAGCGCCGCTGTGTGCGAACCTCTGTGTGAGAGCTGCTGAGTGCAAGCCTCTGTGTGAGGGCTGCTGTGTGCGAGCCTCTGTGTGAGAGCTGCTGTGTGCGAAGCCTCTGGGTGAGAGCTGCTGTGTGCGAGCCTCTGTGTGAGAGCTGCTGAGTGCAAGCCTCTGTGTGAGAGCTGCTGTGTGCGAACCTCTGTGTGAGAGCTGCTGTGTGCGAAGCCTCTGGGTGAGCGCCGCTGTGTGCGAAGCCTCTGTGTGAGAGCTGCTGTGTGCAAGCCTCTGTGTGAGAGGCTGAGTGCAAGCCTCTGTGTGAGAGCTGCTGTGTGCGAAGCCTTGAGTGCGCAGCTGCCGAGAGCAAGAGCTGCTGTGTGCAGGTTAGCGAGGTGTAACGTAGATGAGAGTAGGAATTGGTTAACAGAAGTGACCGTACAGACAGTGATAGGCGTGCCTACAACTGGTGCAAGAATAGGCTAATAAAGTGTAAGCAGGTGACCTGGCACAACGTGTCAGTCTGAGTGATTTTACAAGACACTACACATGTGATACAATTTATCAGAGATACACATTATGTGGATCTGCACATTTAGCAAGGACCTATTAAGGTAAATGGTGAACTTGTTAAAAGGATCAAAACAATAGTGGGTTGAATGGGATCTACAGCACATTAAAATAATCAGTCCTTTCATTTCTACATTAAAAGTTTTTAGCAATCTGTTGGCCATTAAATAGGTTATTTACATTGTGACATCCATAATCTTTGAAGATTTATAATTCAAAAAGTTCCTCTTTTTCTTCTTATGAAAAATTACAGCTTTGCTCTCTTCTTCGGGTTGTGAGCGGAAAACAAAAATCCGCTCCCGAGTCCCGGAGGAATCCAGTATCAACGTTTCACCCTCCAGACTGGGCTCCGATGACTTCAACTGCGATGGCTGCAGTGCCATATCTTTGTTGTGCGAATGGCTCGGAGAAACCAACTTGGCTGGCTGCAGTTGTGCCTCTTTTAACGTTCTAGAGTAAATGACAAATCAAATTAGCATGCATCAAACATTGGTTATGTGCACAAACATTGATCATATATAGTTCGTATACACTGTGAACCTGCTTCAATTTATTTCATTGTATTATACAAATATTCAATCTAATTATTCCACTGTGAAGAGGTATTTATTTCTAGAATGTGACATTTCTAAAATATAACGGAGCAATGTTCACAATAAATAGTTCTATCACAGTTGCTTGAGTGATCGGTGAATATTAATTCAAGTAAGTACAGGTAGTCCTCTACTTATGATGGAGATGCGTTATGACGACCCCATCGTAAGTCAAACATATCGTTAAGTCAAAGATGGCCTAGCCTACCCAGGAGTCTTAAAGAATGGTGATAATTTAGCAAAACAGAGCAATTTACAGTACCGTACTGTATAAACTATATACCGTATGTATTTATTAATTACAATACTGTATTGCACAGTAAAATGTAAAGTAAAAAAACAAGGTAAATTCGTAGCCTACCTATATGAACTGCAGTTTAATAGAAAGTTTTTTCCGGAAACAATCCTATCTGCTATAAAAACTTTTAACGTGCATTATCGTATCGTGGTAACCCTAAAATGAGATCGCTAAAGCTACGTATCGCACATGCAATTTTGTCGTATTGCTATCGCCATCGTAAGATTGAAATATCGTAAGTTGGACCATCGTAACTCGGGGACTATCTGTATTAGTAAACAAACATAAACACAGGAAACTATCAGCTACCAGTAAATTTGGCTGCATTTCACCTTTCTAAAGTCTCTATTTGTGTTTAAAAGGGACGAGGCTATTTACCTTTGCTTCCTTCTTGGAGAGTTCACTTTGGCATTCTGCCTACATGAGGCAAGGAGAGAAGCTCGGACATGTTCCACCAGCCCTGCTGCCACGGGGAACGCAGCTACATCCACACCTTCTTTATGAACACCAACTGCAGAGGCACTACACACGTGTCACATGAGCCTTGAGGCATAGTTACAATATTTTGTTTTACTTAAATACGATTGTTCCTTTGTATCTAAACGAATTTATTCTCACACTACAGGACCATATACAAATTGGTCAATACATCAGTATGCTGGCAGGAAACAGAAGATGGTATGACATTTTTTTACAAAATATATAAGTCCTTGGAAATATGTCTGTAAAATTACATTCTACATTGTAAATATTGTAAAGGAATCATCTCTTTCTTAAAATGTTTTTTATCTTTCCCATTTGTATCCTAAATGTGAATGCAGTGCCTCTAGTGGCTGCAGAATTTAGGTAAAACAAATGCATATAAAATATGCAACATGAAAGTAATCGATGATTACACACCCGAATTGATGAATACGTCGTGATAATATGAAAGAAATGTAATCCATGAATCTGTATCATTACATGTTGAACACAGATAAGTATTGAGATCCATCTTGGCTGTGCCATGGCGTCTAGTAGAGATGCATAATCTCTTTTAGATTGGAATTAGAATGTGAAAAAGAGAAAAAAGCTTTGAACGAGCACTCAAGCATGGTACGCAATTCGTTTATTGTAAAAAAAGCTAAAAATATGTATTGTTCACGGAAGTGTGGTCTTAAAATCACACGATTGCTGCCGTGCCCTGCTGCTAAACAAGCCCATCTTCATCACTGTTGGTGGGGTGAATGTGCACTTAAAATACTGTACAGGTACCTGATAGGCACAGAGCACGTGTTTGGGTGAACAAGCCGAAGTAATTCCTGAAGCTGCTTCATGCTATGAAGAGGCAAAAGCAAGCGAAGAGCATGCTGCACAGCGTCCCTTGGAATGTCAAACTTCTCTATGAGCTGGCTCAAAAATCCATATGCCTGTAGAACAGCACGGGCAACAAAAATATACTTTGGGCTTCGTTGAAATGTATTTTTTAAATAAATCATCTTAAGCCCTTTGTCAATCCACTTGAATTAAAGCTTCTGTACATTGTGTTAGTCATGGGGGTTGTTATTGACCCTACATCACCATGTCTCTAAATGTGGGTTGGTAAAGGGTAGGCCCAGGACAAGTTTAGATATCATTCGCCACTGTCATTATAGCTGTGACTGGGAATCAAACTCAAGTCGCCGAGTTCTCAGCGTGGTGTGTTAAGCGCTGCGCCACTGATCCTCAATTCAATTAATATGCCACTGAAAAATTAGGATATGTTCACCTGTATAGGGCTCTCAATATCATGAAGGTCCAAACACCGTATAGGCTGGGTAGTTTTGCCAAATGTCTCCAGTATGGCATGAGCAAGCATGTCCACGGCCTCCTTCCTTTCCCTGCACAGCCCCTCGCTCTCCAGCCGCTCCACAGGGAGAGAGGCCATGGCACTGGTCATCTGCCCTTCCCCTGCACACACTGATCCACTACACGCACTCTGCACATCCTGCTGCACCTGACATATGCACAAAGGATGCACACATTTATTAGGTCATTATATCAGAGTTGCACTGCGACAAAGTGCTGGATTCAAGTGGAAGGTTACAAAAATAACCGGAATAATTATGTCATTGGAATGTTACTCAAGATCAGAGGTGGTATTTAGTGTTTCTGATCATTTCACTTCATTTTGATGGAATGGCAGCCAATTTTGCAGAATGTCAGCAAAATTAGAAAGTTTAAAATTCATTACGACATTGCACACTGTCGCAGATCGATGTACATGACGGATAAAAGCACACTATTGCTTAAGTGTGTTTTTATCCATCATTTGTATAGGCAGTGATAGCGTGCAGCTGGGGGGGGGCATCCCCAAAAGTGGATGTTGAGTGGATGTGGTGATGCATTTGGCGTAATTCATGAGGCATTCCACCATGTCTACTCCACTACAAAATTATACCTGCATGACACTCCCAGGGGGGGTTCTGCCATGATTAATAAGATTAAACTGCTGCTGGGATCGTCCTGTCATCTTTCCTTCACAACCAGCTTGCTGGGTTAACAGAGCCTTTTAAGAGCTTCAGTTAATCGAGCAATGCACGCGCCACTGTGCCACAGTTGCACCCTCATTTAGATAAACAGTGTGTCCTCGAAACAACCTGGGTGGATATACCGTGCCCTGTGTACCATGGGAGGTTTCGTTGAGGGGGATGCAAAAAATATAAATTTGTGGGGGAAAAAATGAATGGCATGCAAAGCAATTGTGACTCGTTAGCCATGTTTCCATGCTGCGCAGAAACATAATGTGCCAGGCAGTGCGAGTTTAGCACTGCACTGTAAATAATTGAAGCATTGCATTGTGGGTTTTTGGTGGGGTCAGTAGTATTTTTCCCCTTATATATGTTTAAAAAATATAGATTTTATAACATGGAAAGTAATATTAATTATATTACAAGCTCTAAATGCGAAAAATGTGGCCTTCTTGGAAATAACGGGATTTTGTTAAGAAAATTGATACAGAGGCAGCCCACCTCTGGATTATCCTGGAATTGCGATGATGTGCTGTACGACTAGACGCTCGGTTAATAATACAAACGTCTCACATTACCTGTGTATTCTGTGTGGATTTGGAGCATGCACCCCAACATTTATTCTGTCTTAGAAGGGATATGCATACGACCGCCAGTCCCACCATCACAAATGCCACCACAAATCCTACAAAATGGAGACCATGGTGTGGGGTGGTCTGCACAAAGCAAACAAGTCATTACCTCTACATACTTTGCATTGCAATAGCACATTGTCCTCACTGTTAAATAAGCATGTCTTTAAATGTGATTGATACACAATATCAAATGTTGCAAAAAGATCCTTAAATAAATATTAATTGAACAAATGGCATGGCCACATGGTTGAAAGTGTGAAAAGCCATTTTCAAGTAAACAGTTACACGCACATAAAAAAAAATCTGTGGTTATTTTGAGCATGACATACGCATGTGTGATGGGTGTGTGATTGTACAAATGCCTATATTTCCATAAAGCAGCTAACACTCTAGAAATAAGTTTTGCATGCATACACGCTACAGCATGTCATTACGACCAAGGAGCATACACAAACAATTTTTGTGTAACCTTAACAATGGTTTGACTAACATCCTATAGTCTGTGCATAAGGGGAGAAACTGTAGATCCCCTCACTTTCACGAATGATGGAATTTTCACTTAAAGGCAAGAGAGTTACAACATTTTCATCGCATTTGAATTTGAATGATTTCCGAGTTTCCGGCATTACAACATTTCCTTGATATTCATGTAGAACAGACAATACCATTTCTATGCATCATACATAAAACATGTTTGACAGCATTTTAGATCTGAGTTTAAAACATCACATATATATTTTGAAGGATGTCTCACGTGAAAATATTTACCTTAAATTTGGCTACTTGCATGATGAATAGTGTCGATGTTGCAATCTCAGCTTCAGTACCAGACTAAAAAGCACACACACTAAACTCGTTAATGACTATACAGTATGTAGAAGATGACCAATAAACACACCTGTTGTACCATTAACCCTTCGAAGAGCGATGTATGGCATCAATAGGGCAGTGAGCCAAAGTGAAAGAGGAAGATAAACATAAGACGTGAAATACATTATGTTTAAAGCAGGAATCGCACTCCTATTGGAATGTTTGCCCATTGATTAAATTACCCATAGTCCTCCATGGATAGCACGTAGTAATTATTGGTTTGCGCTGAATGAACCCCAGTCTTTGTGCAATGCACTTGCCATTAACTTGACAACTCAGCAATATTTTTTTCCACAAGCCTAATTCTGCTGATGAGAACCAAAGGTTGAAACTGGTCTAGGGTCTGCTGCTTAAGAAAATGCTTCTGAATAACATTGGTACAGAAGTCACACAGGCTGATGGGATAAAAAAATATACTAGAGAAATGTTACGTGAAGAGATGAACATTTGTCTGTGTATGTCTATTTCATTATACGACGTTTTGGATGGCGATTAGGTAAGGGGCCGTCCATAAATGACGTCACGCGATTTTGGAGGATTTTTGACGCCCCCCCCCAGTCATGCTTCAAATCGTTTTAAACTATTGTTATTGTAGTGCGTATTTAATGTGGCACTGCACTCTGATGTTTGTAGGAGAAAACATTTATTTTAAAGTATATTTAATTAAGTAGAACGTCTTTATTTATTTAAAGTTGCACATTTTGATGTGACGTCACATTTCTCAACCCCCCCCCCCCTCGTCACACATCGTCACAAATATCTGACCCCCCCCCCCCAGGTGCGTGACGTCATTTATGGACGGCCCCTAAGGGCAGGAGAGGATTCTGGCTCATTCGAAAGAGCCACAGAAATGAAAGGGGTAAGGCTGAGTATGTAAATGGTAAGACCACAGCCCCTTTACAGATCGATGACAACTGTTCCCTACTCCATGCAGGTGAATTTATCTGCGGTTTCGCTGGCATGTCTCCCTCTTCTTTGACCGTCGTCAAGAGGTAAACCAGTGTGGACTCTTTTTACAGTGAAATTGAGAATGTCCAGACTGCGACAGAAATGTCAGATAATCATTGGGGGGGGGGGGGGGGGTGGCTTTTAAGCCCTTGCAAAACTACAAAAGAGGTTCCTACCTGTGTTCTTATCACAGAAGCTGCCAGTGAAATGTTCACTCCATCCAGAGCCAAGGCAGGATCCAGAGTAGCGATATAAGACACCTTCATCACTGAGAACACACAACAGGACAGTTAAAAAACCGTAATGAATATAAAATAATGTAAGATCAACTTTACACAAAGTTCGTTATAAGATAACCTTAAGAATATTTAAATTCACATACCATGTTTTTCTTTAGAGATTACATATTTTTTTTAATTCATGTAATTATTGACTGAACATTTCCTATTATAAAACATCTGATTATCCATATCAAGCAAGGGCTCTTGCTACTGGAAGCATATTTCAGGCATTCCTCCCTCTCTAGAACATTGTTTAGAGGCATGTAACTCCCAAGCAATTCGACGTCACGATACAGTTTTGCAACATCACACTTGCTGAAATATCTATTTGCTCAAATATTGTACTTACTGAATAGTACGTCACAAAAGGTTATGACATCATGAACGCAGAGATAAAGGATCAGCAGGAGAGAAGAGAATGAAAGGGGTCAGGAGGAGGCTGTTAAAACAAGATACAACCCACATTTCAATTTAAAACTTTCGTGACTGCAGGGATTCATATTCTTGGTTCTTTCGGTAAAGTCACGTAGAAGGGAAACAATAAAATAATAAAAATATAAAACAATACAATTCTCACTAGAAATGTATTAAACTCACGTAGAAGGGAAACAATATAATTATAAAAATAAAACAATACAATTCTCACTAGATTTGTATTAAAGTCACGTAGAAGGGAAACAACAAAATAATAAAAATATAAAACAATACTAGTGAGAAAAGTCACGTAGAAGGGAAATAATAAAATAATAAAAATATTAAATACAATAATAAAAATATAAAACAATACAATTCTTGTTTTACATTTTTATTATTTTATTGTTTCCCTTCTACGTGACTTTACCGAAAGAACCAAGAATAAGATACAACCCAATTAATAGTGCTTGTATATTTATGTCGGCTGTATCTCAAGGCTGCCTGAAATGAGCATTTTTTACAAATAAAAGCTTTAAATCTATGGTCAAGCATATCATTATGGCTCTCTAATCACATTATTTTGACATCATTTGCATATGTTTAACGCGTCAACATAGTGAGGTGACTATAAATAATTCTCACTGACGAAGCTTCATGCTGCTGTCATGTAGCGCAGGCCACGCAGCACAGGTAAGCGTCTGCAAGGCAACTTTCTACCAATACTTTATGTCACAATTAAACACATTCTGTATTGTCCAGACCTGAGCCCTAATTACCGAAAACTAAACTTCGACCAATACTGAAAATATTGTGGCCGGAACATAATAACACAAGCGGCACACCACGTCAAATTAATGAAAAACTGAGCTCATCTTCTTTCTGCAAGGTCTGACTTCCATATGTAACATAACCTGCAGATGCCTTTCAGGCCTCATTCAGCATCATAATTACAGATAGAACATTTTTCGTTTAAATAATTGTTCTTACATTTGCCCACACCACCATGTGCAGTCATGACTTCAAATTAAAGTAAATAAAACTATGCCCTAATAATAAATGTAACCTGAGTAATGCAATTAGAACTTTACCATTTTTGTTGGAGAGGTCAATATCGAATTCCTGATAGTCCTGGCTGGCTGATGTCTGTTGCTGTGGCTGCAGCAGCTTGAGTCCTTGAATGTTGTCTCGAACCTGCAGCATTCTTCCTTGATCAGGAAAGAGATCACTTCCACCGACATACATGACGGTGATAACAATCTCCAGGATATCCACGTCGGTTTTCTGTTCCACCACCTACAGAGCACACGTGATTAATGTATGGTAAAATCAATTTAAAAAGTATACCTAATTAGCTGGCATTATTGCCCACAAATACAATTATTGCTGGTGAAAAAAGTGAATATAACATACCAACAATTAAACAATTACAATGTATTAGCATTCTCTAAATATACAGCCACGACAAAGATCTATACTCAGTTTGAGCTGCTCATATAAATAAAGAACATTTTTTTGAAGACCGGGGGTTATAAAACTGGGGTCTACGGGCACCTAAGTGGTTGTGCAAGATCAAGGGGTCCCCAAAGCAGAAAGCAAACTGTTCACGCACATACCATGGATGGGCAGCTTTACTATATACACGAGCTATATACTCAGAAATGTATAATTATTTGCAATCCTGCGTCAATCCACTGAGGGATGCAGGCCTCCTGATGCAATAATGGTGATGGGGTTGGCCATACTTCACCGCAATGGTCACTGTGTGCAAGTAACTGACCGGTTCAGGTATTAATCGCCACTGGTGTTAAAGCTCAGGCCAGGCACTATACCACCACTCAACGTGTTAAAAAATTTCACTCGAAAGTGCTAGGAGACTATTCTATTATCGCTAGACACCGTTTTGTTTACAAAAGGTATTGGCAAATATACATAGTACTGTAGTACTGTTCACCGAATTGTCTGTACAGTATATATATAAATACACATTTTGAATCAAATTTACAACAAAAATAAAAGAGTGGTGGTGAATGCGTTACTGTAATTGAGTCACAAAATGACAAAAGTAAGAATTAAATATTACACGCACACACTCACCCTCCCACACTTGCTGATGACAAACTCATGGTTTGCGGATACAGGAAGCAGCTCCTTCTGAGTTCCTGTCCAATTCAGCATCTGCACCTTGACAAAATATTGCAATGATTCAAGCACATTCAACGTGTAACACACATGGTAAAACCATTTTGTAACCCAATGGCTTTACATACACTATATTTTAGCACAAAATACTTTAAACGTGTAGTAACTGCAATAACTGTATGCGAGGTAGTATTTAATGTACTGTAGTATACCACGAATTTACATCAATACTTTGTGTAAAAAAATGTCATTCCACCAAAAATTTGAAAAGTTTTTTTTCCATTTGTCAGTCGACATTTCGCGAGATTATATTATACAGGGATGAAGGTCAGGGCTGGAAATGGGAAGAAATTACTCGGGGAACTCATAAATGATTCCCCCCCCCCCCACTAGATTTGGCCCGTACACTCGACCTGCGGAGGAGCTTTGTACCGTGTGTGGGTCTCTTTGCGTGTCTGTGGGTCTCCGAGCGTGTCTGTGGGTATCTTTGTTAGTCTAGGGGTCTGCCTGCGAGTCAAATAACAAAATTAAACCTTGATTATTTCCAGAACGCAGTCGGGTTCAAATGTTCACTCCCACCACGGCGTTCCGTTCCATTCCCACTACTGGAGAAGGCAGATAGCAGCCTCTGATGCTTAACTGAACCACGTGTTTTGTGACGTACCTCATCAAGCATGACTCTTGGAGATATCCACAAGTCGGTGTGCATTTGAGGTGTCGTCACTGCCTCCGCATCCGTGTGTCCAGCTGACGATGTGTTTGACACGTTCCGCGGCAGAACTGTTGAGAGAGTGTACACTTTAGAAAACACATGACCATTTGCAATGTTGAGATGTGAGCCACCATACACACGTTTTTTTTTCCTCCCCCTCGCCTTATGCGGTAGATGCGTTCCAAGAAAATGGGCGCGCGAAGTGACACAGCACGAGACAGCTGCTTGCCGAGTAGCGCATACAGCACACACACACACACGTTGTCCCACGTCCGACCGCGTAACCGCATGCGAGCGAATTCAAAACGCACGTGGCGAATTTTGGGTAGAAATAAGTTAGCTGTATTCTCGCGAAATCGCATAAACCCAACACGCATAGAGCGAGGGAGACCTGAATGTCGAAATATTACACCGATTCACATTCTAGAGTCTAGAAGCTATGTATACTAATCGAGGAAGTCAATATCAACAAAATCACGGTGTCTTTATGATCACCTTCGATTAGCACGGTTAGCTACATGCGGTGCAAAAGAAGTTCAACATTACGTACATACATGGTGGTGTGATTCTCTCCTAATTTACAACCTTCACATCTAGCAGTAAAAACTGCATACAGCATTTCTGATCTTGGCAGTGAGTCTGTCCATAGTGAAACCACTGTTGACTTCCAATAAGTTCCAGCGTTTCTTGTGATCATGACTATTTATTAAATACAGTATACATATCGCTTTGCTTATAACCTGAAATCTCACCTCTTGACGAACAAAATGCAGAGTGGAGTAGCAGGAGCAGGACGGATGGGATTGCTTGAGGGATGTTCATACCGAGCCCAGCTCACCAACATTGAGGAATTTCAGTAGCAGCTGCAGCAGCAGCAGCAGGCAGACTGCAGCCATCATCTTCAGAGTGCAGAACATCACCTTTCAGGCCATGGTCCGATGTCGGATATGTTTACCCTTAAACATGCTTTCGAATGAGAGAAAAAAACCCAAGAAGCAATCGTTGATGACGACCGTTCAAAAAACAATGACGAATAGCCCAATAATAGCACACACGCAAAAAGACAAAACAGTGGTGCTTTTGAAAACGATTGTGTAGGAAGTACATCACACAAAGGAGTCACAACAAGGCCGTAATTATAATATATATTGGGGGAGGGGGGGGCACATCCCCCAATATTTAAATATGCTCAAAATGTCCCCCCCCCCCAATATATTGCTATCAAAAATATTTAAAAAAAAATTGCTATGCTATGTAAATAAAAACAATTTTCTAAACCTTGGCCACAATATCTGGACTTGTCTTCATATAACAATGCATAGATTTCTGTTTATATTATTGTGGTTATGGTTGTACTTTATTAATCCCTAATCTCTGCCATAACATACAATGAAACAAGAAAAGGTAAAATAAAAAAACAGAGCAATGTAATACAATACACTATTAGACATTGTAAACAAAAAAATAAAAAGCCCATAGTGATTTTTTTTTATATTTTAGGCAGGAAATTCGTTTTCAAAGTTAGATTTTTTTTCTGGAGGGGGGACCCCCAGACCCCCTAGAAAATTTGGTCCCCCCCAATGTTGAATCCATGGCTACGGCCTTGCGTCGCAACATTAAACAGTGGTACTTTACAAAACGCGTGTGTCCAAGTACATTACACTAAAGTGTCAAAAGGGAGCTTGGCTTAAAGTTGGCTGGAGGAAACATACTAACATCCAGCGTTGGATTTGACCATGGGTGACGATAACGAAACATGACCTCCCGGCTACGCCAGCTGAATAATCGTGACCTCCGGTTGAGAGGCGGCTGGCGTGGCACGTGGAGGGCACTGCGCCATGACCCCGGTTCGATTCCCTTCCCACGGCTGACATCAGTGGCGGGTCCCCTCCTCCCTCTCCCCTGCCTCCATTCAAGCGACCCTCAATGACCACCGTGGTGAAGTATAGGTCAAACAACCCCCCCACACACACACACGCACAACCGATGAGCGGCAAGGCGTGGGGAGGCGTTCATACAGCAGTGGATCAGCGCGGCGCGGGGGATGTTCAGCAAGAGCTCGCGTGAAAGTTGCTGTGCACAATACAGTCCCAGCGGGGACCTTCACCAAAACATCGCTCTTCAAAGCCACGGCCAGATTATTAACTCGTAATTGTGAGTGTAAAGTGGGGGGGGGGGGGTATGTTGTTGCTGTATTTAAATCATTAGCGCAACCGCTCAAAACTTCCGAGAAAGGATGTGGCCGAGCTGTTTGTGCGTAGGTGGGAAATCTGTGAACGTTGCCTGGGCAAGGGATCTTACCAAAGCATCAGGGTGAGAAGACCGTGAGATGATGGGGAGCGCGATGATGGAGGTGACGATGTTCACCACGAGGAGGAGTTCTTCAGGCGGCGATGTCAGATCGCGGTGGAGAGAGTCGAACCATTCCTTTCAGAGCGGACGTGCCGAGAAGTGGAGGCGTTCTTTGTTCAGCAAAGTGGCGAATGTAGCGCCTCTAGCGGCTGCACGCGTCCAAGACGCCCCTCGCGATGATGTTGCGTTACAGGGAGACCCCAAAAAGGCAGGACCGCTCACGCTTTAGTGTATTAAATATACAAGAATAAATCGCACACGGTTGTTTTGATCATTTGTTACAATTAATTAAAACGGACCGCGATCAAAGTGTATTGTAATGCACGATTGGATTTTCTTTTGAAATGAATTCAGGACAAGTGTCAACATTTCCAGGTGTAATACTTGAACGTTCATAAATAGTTTTGTCGTCTCAATCGATTCGATTTCGAAAATACATGCTCATGATAGGTAAAATATTAACTTTAAAAAGTGGCAATGTTTAAAAGCCAGTGATAAAATCAATTAACCCCATGCGTCCTGATTTTTGGGCTACCGCGTTTCGAACCGTCGAATTCATGGACTTCTTCTATCTTACAGGGTCCTTGCCTTTGACATCCGTCAGTTCAGCAGCACCAGTATCACCCCCGTCTGTACAGATGTATTAAAGCGATGCACTATATTGTCCGCTGGTCTATTGTGGGCTATATTCTCCACGAGGACGCCAATGATTGTGTTATGTTAAATACGTTTACTCGTGTATCTAAACGGCATCTGGCCATTCGCCAGCTTTGACTCGAGCAAGCTGGACTTGCTGATGAGCCACTGTCAAAACCAGTCCAGTTTTCTTGGACAGTCATACTATGCCCATCTCCCATTTAAAACGTGAGAAATAATCATTCCCATTTTACCCTTGCATACGTAAAAAACATGTGCTGTATACTAAAATAGCTAAATTACGAATTAGGCTACAATGATTTTACTTCTTGAAAAAAATATGTTCCAACACGCTCCCATATACTGTAGTTCCAATTAAAGTACTCTCGAGTTAAAAAGCACTGCGTATGAAACTAACCCATTTGAAAAGGAATATTTATTGAACACCATCATAAAAGCACTCAAATTCACACACTTTACACATACATTTCTTACACATTTCATTTTAGCTGAAACATTTACTAATCCTGTTTATGAAAAGGCTTAAAATGGAATTTCACTCCATATTTCAATTAAATCAGTGTAAATGTGTAGGTTAAAAACAAAGATGCATCACAAAAGTAAATAGAATGTTAACATATCATCCAATGACATTTAACAATTGGAACGTTAGATAAATAATGTATATTTTAATATCTTACATTTTAAAAAAATGCAAACAAAAAGGTCTGACACGTGGTCTCTACATGTACGTTTCAAGTGAATTTCTATGGCATGACACTTTCTATTTGCTATATAAGTTTATTGTACAAATCACATGTGGTTGGTCATTCAAGACAAGATCCACAAATGGTGCACTATTCATAGAGGGACGGTAGGCAGAAAGAGGTGCCTGTAAAGTGCAGGTGGCAGAAATCGCGGCCCACAAGGGCCTTCTTGCGGCAGGGCAAGCCGGAGCGTGTGATGGCACCACAGGGCCCTCGAGACAGCAGAGAGGACCTATGCAGCAGCAGCAGCAGCAGCAGCAAAGCAGTTTAAAAAGTCAAAGTCAAACCCCATGACGCAAACCGCAATCTCTTTGAATACTTCTGCAAAAACAATGGGATATATTTCACGTTTCGCACATACGTGTTGTTCAGGCTGGAGCACGCCAGTGGGTCGCTCCTGCGCATGAGATGCCGTCCTGAGCTTCGACTGACTGAATGTAGAAACTCAAACGGTTCCTATTGGAAATCCACAAGCATCCAGGGCAATTAATTACATGGAATAAAAGATCCGAACCATAATTGCGAGGGTTCACGGATGTGCTGTACAACTGTCCAATATGTTCTCAGATTGTCCTGCGTGTCGTTCGGCACTATCTCGGACCTCGCTCCTGAAGCTCCCCGAACGTGAAGCAAAACGTTGGACATTATGTCAAACACGCACAACCCGAAAATACATTGGAGAGCTATCCAAATAATTGTTAATCAATATCAAGCACAGTGACGTCTGTCAGTGGTGTGTGTGTGTGTGATGTCTACTAAATTAACGTACTTGTTCAGCTGTAAGATAAATCCGTGAGAGAGAATTCCTGCGACCGTTGATATTCCGAATTGGTTCTTGTGTCGAGTTGTCCGCTGGCTCATCAAGCATAGTACTGTTTCGGTTTTCAGAAGCATCTATAAAAATGATTGATATTTTAAGTGTAAAACACAAGATACGGGTATTTCGAATACAATCTGTAAAAAGCAATAAAGATATTCGTAAATAAAGGTGAGAATAAAGGCACATTATTATACGAATTAGAATATTGTATTATACACAATTCTTTATTACCTCCTACACCACTGACAGAATCATTACTTGACGAATCCTGTGCTCCAGATTTCCTGTAAAACACCGACAGCAGTTGTCATCCATCTAAGGAGTTGATCCCCATTGAGTTAGTGATGTTTAATGTTAAAATTACTAATTGCAATAAAACAGTTTACCCCATTGGGTCAGTCCATCTACCGTGAAGTGTAATTTATCCAGAGGTTTTTTTTTGGGTTAGATCGCGTAAATGTCGGTCGTTAAAACCCACCACCACCATCCGACACAGCCAACTAGTAAGGGTTGTCACGTAAACAGAACGTGGCCAATTCGTCACTAGTACAGCACTAGCGTAGTGTAGTGTATAGTAGTGTAGTATACTAGTACAGCACACCGGTGTGTTGGAGAGCCAAGCCACAACATTTACAATCCGTGTACGACGTTTCACCAGTAATTACAACTAGTTTCATCAGGCGACAGCCAGATTCGTGGAGAAGTCCACCTGATTCGTTTCTTATATAAAGGCGTAGATGTGGTGACCACGCTACTGCGCTCTCATGCAAAGTGGGTGGGGGGCATTAATGAGTCATTATGCATGCGCATTTTCAGAGCCCTTTGATCTTGTCCTTCCTGTTCATTGCGTGTATTAAAATATCCGTATCAACGGTAATCCCTATTTAAGTATGGCGGCCTGTATAGGCATGCATTTAAATAATGTATAATTTGATGATTCGCTTCCACGCAGCAGCACCAAGTCGGTAGCTATCCGAACTGTTAAAATGTTTTTTCTTTCTTTCAATTTCGATAGATTATCTACTTAGTCTTGGCCAGTAGTAGCGAGTTTTGCACAGAACTTCAACATTATCAAAATCAATGGAGTGTCCTTGTTGGCACGCGTGTTCTGCTACTGCTGACGGTTGTATTTGGAAGTATTTCATATTTCTCTGATGTTAAGTCTCGTGCTATACATTTGTCTTGTTTGCCCAACATAGCATTTGCCACAAGTGCAGTTAATCCTGTACACACCTTCTGTTGATAGCTTCGGTTATACATCTTTTGTACCAGATGCTAATTTATATATCTAAACCAAGCAGAGGGTTTTAGTGTGCTTGAAGCTATTGCTTTTATTTTAAAATCTTTCATGTACAAGGAACAGCCCATTGCTGCTCCTTCCATTTGTTTATAAAAGTTACCTTTCCACAAGAAATAGGTGTGCTTTCGACAGTTTTCAGCTAGTCTTGGGATATCTTTGGCTAAACCTTTGTTTGTTACCAGAGTGTAGAGTAATTTAATTGACTCGTTGACCAGAACCCTCGTGAACAGCCTCGTGAACAGAGAGGTCACATCAAAACTTACGAGAAAATCATTAGGATTAAGCTTAATATCTTTAATTATATTTACAAGATGTTCAGAGTTTTTGATGAACGAAGATGTCCTACCAATGTAGGGCTGTATTTGTTTCGTTACATAGTGTGTTAATTTGTTCATCCGACTGAGCATTGTGACAGGCATGCATTCATTGCATTGGAGAGAGTGGCTGCTCAACAAAAGTGGTCGCATTTCAGCCAAGCACAGATCTGTGTTGTTGTGTCATTCAACAACATGTATATTTGTGCATCTCAGGATATTTGCGCTTTTCAGTGCGTTTGGCGAGCCTGCCGCGTGGGTGAAGAAACATTTTGGATGGACCTTCAGTGCATTTCCAGTTTATAAATTCCAATATAAATTTAGGATTACAGAGTTGCTACATTCAGCAGCTTAACCGAGTAAACAAAATATTTGGAGACAGATTAGCAAAATAAAATAACAGGGAGGTAAAGCAACACAGATTAAGGTGAAAGAAACCCATATATGATCCTTTGCTCAGAATTCACTTTTTGTTAATACCACAGAATGAACTCGTCATTTAAAAGGGGGCCACAATCGTAATTACGTTTGATGAGACAAACAAAAAAGCTCTCGTGCGTACAATGTTTTTATTTGTGCAAGTGTGGCTATGTATAGATTGGGAAAGACCTTGTACCTGGACGTGAAGTGTGCTAGTTCAGCCACACTGGGAGCAGAGGAGCCCGAAACATGGGGCTGGAGCTTGGAGTAGAAGGTCCATGCACGCACTACCAGAAAGTATCCTGTACACAGGTAGGCACTCACAGCCTCAAGCAAACCATATCTCAATCGATGCGTTTCATTTACCAGCATGGTTTAAATTATGTTATTTGGTTCACTCAACTGTGTGAAATAACACTGAATAACAACATCTCCTATTCCTCTCCCATATACATTTTCTCTCTAAATAACACAGCAAAACATCGTTTCCAGATTCACCATACCTATGATGGTTTCACCAAGATGATACATCGTAATATTTTAACGATTTTGTAGAAAAATTATTGTTGGCAAGAAATCCATAGTTGATGTATTTATACATGTTGAACTTCTTTCGCACCGTACGTAGCCGAATGCGCTAATCGGATGTGAGGGTGTCTAAACATACAAGAAAACATTATTCATGTGACCGTGCGGGATACCTACCCACAGCGAAGGTTACTGTGAGAACGGAGAGTTCAATGAAGTCAAAGGAGGCTCCAGTCTTAATCTCAGATACTGCGTTCACAACAACACACAGTATCAGCATGGCTCGGGTGAGGGCTGGTGCCTGCAAGAACATCACCACCACCGCTGCCAGGAGTAGATATGCCGCATGCAGTACAAATGTGTACACCACCGAGATGTTATCGCCTGCGAGAGAACAAGAG